CCAAGTTTCGCTTTCCCCAATCCCACACCTCCACGCTGTGCGACTGGGGGGTGCAAGTGGGCTTTCGGCTCAAGTGGATTTTCAACTGTTCGCCCCTCGCCCCGGAAAAGAAAGGGCGCCCCCGACACGAAGGCCCTGTCCCAGGCGGCAGGGTCCCGCCCCGGGCGGCCCGAGGGGAGGGTGGGCGAGCCCTCGATCCCGCACTTGCCCCGCCGCCCCGCCCCGAACCCCGCTCCCCGGCCGCCGAAGCGCGGGGGCCCCGCCCCCGCCTACGCCAAGGCGCGGGGGCGGCAGAACCGGCGCCTTCACCTTTCTTCCTCTTCTCCCCGCAGCCGAGGCCGCGGCGCTCTTACCCCGCCTCCCGCCTCCCTGAGTCACCGGCGGCAACCGCCGTTCTCAGCCGCCCAGCCGACTCTATCTCTGACTTGGTTCAAGAGCTCTCACAAGACACGCACTGCCTCCCGGGCCCGCCCCCTCGGAGCCGCTTCCGCCGCTCATTGGCTGAATCGCGGGAGCTGGGCGAGGCTCTTGGGGAAATGCCTTATCGCTATTGGTCGAGCTGGCAAGGGCGGTGCGAGAGAAAAAAACAATTCCTTGGCTACCTCCTCCCTTTCCCCTCCCCCTTCCGACTCCCGGGCGACCCCCATTAGGTTAAAGTACACAGCGCGTAAGCGAGAGATCCTTCCGCCACTGGCCCATTCTTTCTAGTTGTTGCCTCACGGTATGCAAAAAAGTCCCACGAAATCGGTTATCAACTTTGCGGCCCGGCGGAAAACTGCCCTGGCGCATAGCTAATACTCAATGGGGAGACCCAGGGCTTTAAGAGCCTATTGGATTGCTCTTCAAGTGCGTAGGTTGTCGACCGAAGATGGGCCTTCCACTTGGCGGAAGAATCTCACAGGAAAGGGGTGAGGGCGGTGCAGTGTCGGCGGGGGAGGGAAGGCAAGAGGACGTGCGGTTTCAGGCGTACTCAGCTAGAGGGAGGAGCCACCGTGCTCGGGAGGCTCGTGCGCAGGCGCCTCGCTGAGCAGACGCTAGAGCTGGGGCTGCTGGGTGAAATGGCCGCGGGAGGCGCAGGCGCACGTGGTGTTAATCGTGAAGGCTGAGGTCCGCCATTTTGAAGGATAAATGAAGAAAGGCGTGGAGTTACAGGGAAGTGTTGTTCCTCCAGTCTAGAGCAAAAGAAGCCATTCAGTACAAGGTGGAGTGTAATTATTTTAACGCAAAGAGGGGAAAGGAAAAGATGTTCTGAGACTTACAAAGAAATTGAAAGAGTAGATGAAGGCCATGAGGTATGAAAGAGGTGACTTCGAAGGACAAAGGAGATAAAAGCTGACTGTTTGCCTTGGACCAAAACTTCTTGGTTGAATGAAGAAGAAATGGGATGAAGGAATTGAAGTTATTTATTTAAATAAAGGCTGATGTTTGACATAAAATTGTTTAATCCTTTAAGATTGGTGAGTGAAGAGTTCAGATTCCCGGTTTTACAAGGGTGAAAATGAGGAATGTCAAAGTAGGTCAGAAAAAGTTGATTGTACAATACAAGTAAATTACGGTTTTTTTGTGTTAATATATGTTCCGAATATTGTGACCTTAAATTTTTAACGGTAACACTGAAGAATCAAATTGGGTTTATAATTTACAGGTCATTAAAAGGGGGAAAGAGAGTAGAAGAGAACCTACCCAATCTGGCAAATGCCAGAAATGGAAACAAGAAAAGAAAAAGAAACTAGAAGTATGAACTAGAAACTAGAATTAAATGAGAGAAGTCCAAACATCAGTATTTACAATAAGTATAAATGGATTAATTTCACTAATACAATTTAAGACAGTTTGGATTAAAAACAAAATCCAGTTGGAAATTTACTACAATGTAGAAAGCTTGGATTAAAAATTTTAATTATAGGTAATCAAAGGAAAGCAACATGCCAGTGTTAATATATAGTTATACATTGCTTAACAATGGAGCTGTGTTCTGAGAAAGATTATTAGGTGACTGTATGATTTTTAAAATTTTAGAGTGTATTTACACAATATAGAATGGCTACAATGTCACCAGATGATACAACCTTATGGGACCAATGTCATAAACATGGCCTGCCATTGATTAAAATGCCACTTCTTGATGTGTGACTGTAATTGAAAATGAAAACATCAAAAGAGTAGTTATATTAATAAATGATGGTATCCACAAATGTAACTCATAACCTAAATTGTTATGGGCTTGAAAATATAGCCTAGCCTAATACTATAAGAATTACATGAGAAAACTTTAACCACTTGTAGTTAGAGGAGATGTATACACTACAGATACAGGCACCTCAGGTAAAAAGTAAGGGTGTATAGGAGCTAAATTACACAATTAGAAACAAGTGTTAAGGGACAAGTAACACCAAACTTAAAAGAACACATCTTCAAACAACATATCCTGTTTTATATTCATTATTCCAGTACTTAGAAAATATGGAAAGATATCCAGTATGTTTGATAAAACTTACAAAGCCCTATTACTACAAATCTGAACAGGAGAGTACAAGAAAGGAAAACTGCATTTTAATAACATTTATGAAGCTAAATGAAATTTTTTTAATGTAAAATATCAGCAAATTGAATTCAGCAGTATGGACATGATTAGGGTTATCAGATTAATACAAAGTTACTTCAAAATTAGGAAACTAGCTGGGTGTGGTGGTGAACACTTGTAATCCCAGTACTCAGGAGGCTGAGGCAGGAGGATCACCATGAGTTTGAGGCCACCCTGGACTACAGAGTGAGACCCTATCTCAAAAAAAAAAAAAAAAAAATTAGGAAACTATTACAATTTACCACAATTGCTGAAAGAAAAATCATGTTCATGCACTCAAACTGAACATTTATTCATGATTTGAAGCGTATTTCTAAACTGCCTAGAAAACCAGGAATATTAAACCGTACACATTCAATACCCATTCATGATCTTTAGAAAAACTTTAAACCTTTTAGAATCTTAAGAATACGAGATATCATCCTAAAATGCAATAACACCCAAAGAAGAGATCTGTGAGGTTACTCATTTCAGTACTGTTTGAGGATATGAAAAATGGAAATAATTTAAATGTATTTCTCTTGGGAAATTAGTAAATGAAATGTGATACATATATAGGAGCATTTGAAAGGAATGAAAAATATCTTGATGTATGCATAAAGATAGATTACCAAAACACATTTTGAATGAAAAAGAAACTTGCATTTGATCTTGTTTAATAACATGTACATATACACACTAATATATTCTATTAAAAAGGTATACTAAAACATAATAATCATGACTGGTACTAAAGGGTGAATACTAGAACTAGAGGTATTTGTCAAAGATGATTAGCACTATTTGTTGACCCTGAGTTGGATGTTTTTGTGTTGGTTTTTTTTTTTTGTTTTTTTTTTTGAGACAGGGTCTTGCTATGCAGTTCAGGCTGGCCTTCAGCTAACTTTGTAGCCCAGGCTGGTCTCAAACTTGCAAAATCCTTCTGCCTCAGCCTCCCAAGTGCTGGGATTAGAGGTGTGTGTCACCATGCCCAGCTAATACCTGTTTTTTGTATTTAAAATTGACATATTTATGGTATACAACATGTTTTGATACATGAAAAATTTTAACATTTCTGATGTGCAACATGTTTTGGTTTCACATTTCTGGTATGCAATATGTTTGGTGTATGTTTTGGTACATGCATGGCTAAAATATGTCTAACATATACATTATTTTGTATATTTTTGTGGTGAGAACTTAGAATACACTTAGAAGTTTTCAAATATACAATATATTGTTATCTTTAGTCATGATGATATACATAGATTTTTAAACCTTCCTCCTAACTGAAATTTTGTGAATTGAGTAAAAGCTCTCCAATCTCCCCACCTCTCCAGTTATCTCATTTTTATAAGATGAATGTGTTCATCTGTTACTTGTGTAATTTAAAGTTAATATTAAGAGTCTTTTAATGGAATCTACTACATTATCAGGTTAAGAAAATACATATATTTATCTCAAAAGATGTACAAAAATCATTTGCTAAAGCTTTAATTCCAGTCATTATATAAAATTCTTCACAAATTATAGATAGAAAAAACTTTCTGAACTTGATAAAGAATATCTACCAGTGCTAGGCATGGTGGTGCCTGCCTGTCATCCATACTCTTGGGAGGCTGAGGCAGGAGGATCACCGCGAGTTCAAGACCATCCTGGGCTACAAAGTGAGTTCAAAGCCAGCCTGAATTGCACAGTAAAACTCTGTCTCAAGGAGACAGAAAAAGAGAATATCTATCATAAATACACTTAAACATCACACTTCATTATAAAGATTTAGAAAGATTCACACCAATAAAGCCAGATATAAGATAAGAATGCACGATACTACTATTAGTATTAGTCTTCAAGCTGCTATAGAGCGTTGAATTGCTAAAGTAATAAGAAAAACAAATAATACAGTATAAACATTGGAATGGAAGAAAAACCTACCCAATTTGTACATAAGTATATTATTGACAGATTATTGGAATTAATATGAGTTCAGAAGATAGTACACTGAAATACCAGCAAACAAAAATCAACAGAACTATTATTAACAAGCACCATTTAAAACATATGGTAGACAAAATAATCCATTAATGATAAGAAAAACTACAAAATATCTGAAAAAACAAATAATATGAAATGAACAAAGCCTATATGAAGAAAACAATAAAACCTTACCAATATGTATCACAGATTTGAAAATTTTCCTTAAAATTTTAACCTCCTTAAAAACTTGATAAAGATGTCATTTACCTCTAATGAATGAAAAAACTCAATATTGAAATATAGTTAAAAGACTACCAAAACAAGCAGATATGATGTTAGTGTATGATTAACACAGTATTTTTGTTGAGTGTACATAAACTGTTCAATGCATGCTTTGAGGTCCATTAGTTATCCATTAAGAAAAAATAGAGTCAGGTTCCTATGTCATTATTTACAAAATAAGGTAAATTATCCCATGTGACTCAAGAGCTAAATATTGTAAAAATCTAGTAAAGTACTTTAATATGACATTCTCTTTCTCTTTCCCTTCCTCTTCCTGAACATTTCAGTCCTAAAGCTTTTGGGAGGGGCAGAACATGGTAAGTTTTCATATGCAGAGGCTGCCTGGCATGGAATATTGGAACTCAGAAGAGCAAGAAATATGCCTGGCGTTGGAAGTCTGACCCCAAATGGGAGGAAGTGAGACCATGTGGTCTGGCCTGGAATGTCAGAACTTAAGGAAAGTGAGGAGGGAATCCGTGCAGGGGCCAGCAATGGGCACTGCAAAGACCAGTATCTTAAAAGCAAGAGAAGCCGGGTTTGGTGGTGCACGCCTGTAATCCTAGCACTCGGGAAGCTGAGGCAGGAGGATCTTTGTGAGTTCAAGACCAGCCTGGGCTACAAAGTGAACTAAGGCCACCCTGAACTGCATAGCAAGACCCTGTCTCAAAAAGACCAAAGTAAAATAAAATAAAATAAAAGCAAGAGAAGAACTGGTAGAGAGACATATTCTCGAAACAAAGCCAGAAAGAATTTCCAAATGGAGCATCACTGAGTGAAACCAAAGGATATGGTGGGGTCAAGATGGGATATTGACACTGCCAACAAATATAGTT